ATGGCTTGTAGTTTTCAGAGATCAGGAAATTGAATCAAAACGTGGCTGTGGATTTATTGTTTTACAGTTGCAATAATGATTGAATGCCGCTTTCCCAGGCCTGGCTTCATATACCTTTGGCTGATTCTGAGAAAGACAGCTGAGGTAGACAGCACTTGGAATCCCATTACATAGTTTACAGTTGGCAAGTCAAATACTAGAAGGCAAGGGCTGGAAAAATAACCTTAGTGTCAACATTCAAGATTGACAGGAAAGATGACAAGCTGGTAGTACCACCAACACTATATAAGGAATTGAAGCAGCAATACTCCTATCTTCCAGTAGCTCACACACTAGGGGGACACCATGGGTTTGCAAAATTATAAAAGAGGGCACACACATTAAGGTGAACAAATAATGTGAATAATATAAATTCCATAGGCAGAAATGAACACATTCAATACTTTAATAGCTGTAGGAGTCAAGGAGCCAGAGCTGGAGAACTTTGGGGGCAGGATGGGAAGTTAATTGGGAAAACTGAGAAATCTGGGAGGGGAAAGGTCTTTGGAAGGAAGACAAGTTCAGCCTTTGACGTGGTTGGTGTGATGTGGATAGTCCATGGGTTGTAAATAGCAGGAAATATGGGTTAGGACTTTGAGAACGAGAGAGAAGGAACATTAGTGCTGACAGCTGACATCAGCAGCATTCTCGGTGACCTCATGGAACACTGTCGCAGGGGAGGGGGTCTGGCAAGTGGACAGCACTCCTTAATGACTTCACTAGACTCAAGCCACAGGAAAGCGGCTTCATCATCCCAAACTAGAGGTCTTTCAGACTCTTGACTTCATCTGGCAAAGGCTGGCGTCAAGAGCAACGAGAAGCATCAGGAGTCTGAGCTTCATGTCTTTCCTCTCTTAAACTCCTTTGCCACTCAAGGGCATCACAGCCTGCATTTGGTTTTAATATTTTGTTGTCCACTCATGTTTTGTCCAACATGTTTATTCAAATATCCTTCTGTATGGTCTGTACACAGTAAATTTTGTACAAGTGCACTGCTCTGAGAAATTAGGAGCATTTTATTTTTTATTTTTATTAAAAAATTAAAAAAAAATTTAAATTACATAATCTCTATGCCCAGAGTGGGACTCAAACTTAGGACCCCGAGAGCAAGAGTCACCGACTAAGCCAGCCAGGTGCTCCTGGGAAATTAGGTGCTTTTTAAACTGTTGAGATGAATAATCTCCAACGACACTGGAGAAAATGTCAGTGAAACTGACTCAGGGTGACCAATTCCACCTTATTTTGTAACTTGTTCTCCTTTTTGCATGCTTCTGACCAAACTGAAGGTTGAAGAAGAGCAAACTATTTGGGAAGTATCTTATTTTACATTCCTTCAATATCTTCCTTCTTAGGACAGCTCAACAATTAAATCACTGACACCCCATGCAAGAAGTGTGGGAGCTAAAGGCTAGCCCTCACACAACACATTGCTTTGCATATTATTTCCTTATCACATAATTTATCGTAACGTATTCCCTTTCTTTTCTCATGGCTGCTAAATCAGTTCGGGCTAAATTTTGTGTTAAATCACCCAGCTTCAAGATGGGTAAATTATGACCTCGGGCTACACTCTTTTTTTCTTGCCTGGCAGCTGGGAAGTCTCTCAGCTGTGTGCCTTTCCAAATGAGGCTGGTCTTGTAGGTGGGTGGCTCTTGTGAATCTCTGCAGAGTGACAATGCTGGCTTTAAAAAATGCCAAAGTTTGCCCAAAAGGTGTAAAAAAATCATAGTATTTACAAGTCATCTTAAAAAAAAAAGATTTTATTTATTTATTTGACAGAGAGAGACAGCAAGGGAGGGAACACAAGCAGGGGGAGTCGGAGAGGGAGAAGCAGGTTTTCCCGCAGAGCAGGGAGCCCGATGCGGGGCTCGATCCCAGGACCCTGGGATCATGACCCCCGCCGAAGGCGGACTCTTAACCTACTGAGCCACCCAGGAGCCCCACAAGTCATCTTTAAGCCTTAAAAACATGGTGAAAAAAGTGTTTCCAGAGCCCAGCAACTCCCTCTTTTGTTGGGTCCACGCTGACAGACTCTTCAGATGAAGGATGCTTTGGGGACTCCAACCTCCCTGGCACCCTAAGACAGGATATTTTTGGTTAAGTGCTGCCTCCTGGCGGCGGCTCTACTGCCCGTCACCTTCCCGGCCTGGTGGAGACTACTTTTCGTTAACTGGGGATCTCGGAGCTGATGCAACAGCTCCCCGAGGGGGCGGGGAGTTGAGACGCCCTTCCGAGAGACCCCTCCCCTGGCTCCCGGCAGGCGCCACCGCCCTCCCCCTCCCCCACGGGGCTTTGCAGTCCAGAGTCCCTCCCGAGTTTCAGCCGGGCGTCTCGGGGCTGGAGGCGGGGTTGCCAGGGTTTGGGGCTCTCGCGCGGACCCCCGTCGGGCCGCCAGCGCGAGCAGGATTGGGAGGAGGGGAAGAGGAAGCTGAGCGTTCCTGGGGAGGAGGGCGCGTCTAACGGTATCCGCTGTCACTTTCAGGCAGCGCAGCTGTGCCTGAGTGAGGAGAGGGCCGGGGAGCGGGTTGCGAGACCCCTGGGTTCTCGGACCCTGGCGCCCTTTGTCTACAGCCCCCCCCCCACCCCCAGGGCTTCCTGGAGCCGGGGGAGGGGCGGGGGCTGCTCCGCCAGGTGCAAGGAAGGAAGGGACCGGACGCCGGGTGGGGTGGGCTCCTGGTCCCCCAAGGCAGACCCCGGTTTGGCCTCCGCAGCCAGACCTGGATATCGGGGGCGACCGAGCTCTTAAGAGGGGCATTGAGGGCGGGCGGTGGCTGGGTCGGGATTTGGGAAGGCGAGGTCTCCGGGCTGCAGACTCGGAACAACCGGAGGTCAAGGGAAAGAGGGTAATAAAGGGAACGGCGGGGGCTGGCGGGGCGGGGAGGAGGGGAGCGTGGGAGAAAGGGTCAAAGGTGAGGTCGGGCTGCCGCTGAGCGGGGGTGGAGGGGGTGGGGCCAGGGCCACCGCAAAGAGAAGAGCTGCGGGAGGGCGTCCGGTCAGAGGTCCCGCTTAAGGGTTTGCGGTTCTACTCTTGAACTCGCCTTCATGCTCGTGAACCTGAGCCCTCGCCTGCCTTTGCCTCGTCCGCCCTTTCGCCGCCGGGCGGTCGTGGCACCTTGCTCTCGCCGCACCTTGCTCAGGCCGGTCACCTGAGCCGGGGCGTGGGACAGCAGCGGTCCCGGAGAGCGCGTGGGATGAGGGTTTTTTTGTGTTCCCATTACTCATTTCAAACCATTCTAGGCCTCGCAGTCAAACTGAAAATTACACCCGCCCTCTCCCTTCAACCCATTACTGTCAAAAAGAATAAATATTTCCACATAACTCCTTGCTTAGTTTAGGAGCCAGACCAGCGGCCACATAGGTGGCCCAGAAGGGCAAGTTCAAGGACGTTCACAGAACCCAGGAAATCAGTCTAGGAGGAACAACATTGTTTATTCATTTATTCTTGCCTGTCTAGGTGTGCTCTGCCCTGGGGACACAGGGTGAAAAGTGAGCGCTCTGGTGGTGCTTGCATTTTAGTGAGGGAGGTGACAACCAACAAGCAAATGCACTCTGGGTGGTGGTGTCCTTGCAGAGAAGTCCAGAACGGTGAATGGATGGAGAGGCAAGACCTTGCTCCTTCAGAGACTCCTCAGGGAAGGCCTCTAGTAGTGTGGTTTCTAAGCACAGACCCCGATGGAGTGAGTGAAGGGATGAACAGTGCCGCCGCCCGGAAACATGTTGCAGGCCCAGGCAACAGCAATTGCGAAAGCTCTGAGCCCGGAGCGTGTCTGTTGTGTGGCAAGAGCAAGGAGGCGGCCAGGGTGGCTTGAGTGGAGTGACAGTGCAGGCGCCAATGCCAAGGGGGCCGTGTTAGGGCTGTCTTCCTAGGACTTCCCTCATGTACCACGTGGGCCTGACCCCAGAAGGGAATGAAGGGGCAGGCCAGCCGGGCAGTGGCCTGGATGTAAAAAGGCACTACGTGATCCTTGGAGTAATTCAGATGTTTGGTGCCAATGAACTTCGATTTCTGTCTGGGTCTCTTGGTGAACGGTAAGTTGGCTCCCATCCGCAGACAGAACCCTTGACGACTGCTTACCTGGGCTGTCTGTCTCTAGGATAATTTTGCAACACTCAGGTACAGGTATAAGTTGCAGGGTGCAGCCCTGAGATTGACCAGTGGGTCGTTGTAGGGAGGCAGGAGTTACAGCTGGAAATCTGCGAATGCCCCATGCACTGTGCGGTGCCATCCCCCGCCCCCAGAGAGATTGATGCTCTTGTCCGCAATTTAAATACTTCAACATGCCCACCGAGAAACGACTTCAGAAAGTTACATGTAATGAAGTCATAGAATAAACTCTCATTTTGAATAGGAAGAATGAGGCTTCCCGTTTTGATTCCAAGAAAATCGGTATTCCTCCGCCTCTTCTAAGTCGGCATTCAACAGATATTTAAAGGATCCTGGTTTGAAGGGGTGCCAACTCATTAGCTTGCCCAGGGTGCCAGAGCTGGCTCCTACCTGGTGGCGGGTACATCCCCTGAACCAGCTGGGGACCTGAGCTGTGAGTGGGCTTGTGCTGGGGCATCTGGCTGTACCCGCACAAGTGGTCTTCCTTGGCATGTGTGGCCTGACATAGGGGCTGAGTTCCAGAGCCCTAAGGATGGAGCCTACGCCCTCCGCAGGACGAAGGAGAGTATGTGAGTGGGAGATGAGTAGGAGACGGAATGAGGGGAACAGGCGAACAGGAGGGCACTGCCAGTTGCTGGGAGAGCTTAAGTGCTCAGTAAACGTAGGGCAACAAGGAAGATCAGAGGCTGAGGCGGTGAACAGGAGGAGCTGAGCTTGGGTAGAGAAGGTGCCTAGAGGCGGGCAGGCGACGAGGTCCTCTGGGTCTGACCAGGCAGTCCCAGCTCCAGCCCATCCCCTGGCCCCTCCCCGCTGCCGGCCAGAGTCACACATGTGTTTTCCTGTTTTCCGTTTCGGTCCCCGTCACCCTCTGCCTTTTCTGCTCCTCGGAGTCAACAGCTGCTGCAGCTCGAGCCTTAGCCGGCTTCCCTTCCTAGCACCTTCCCCTCCCCTGCCCCCCAGCGGTGCTGGTAGCCCCTCCTCCTCGCACCTGCCCAAAGGTCACGGGACAGGTAAGAGGTGGGAGAGAAGGGACTATAGGTGAGAGGCGAAGTGCAGGAGGAGGATGGAGCGAGCGTCCTGAAAACTGGCTCGCTGGAGACCCAAGAGCCTATTGTCTCTCGGTCCCGGCCCCAGCCCTCCCCAGGCAGAGCCCTCTGCCCAGAAACTTCAGCCCTATGCTAATGGGAGCCCTGGCCACAGGAGTAAACAATTTCTTGTTTCACTTTTTTTTTTTTTTTAAAGGGACTATCGGAGCCACAGTGGAATATAGAAAAACAAATGGAGAACTGGGGAGGGAGGAGCTGAGCTTCCAGCTTGGGGTGATGGGGGCATCCAGCTGAACCACAGTGTATGTGTTTTCTGTTTCTGTTGTTAGGGGAGGCAGCACAGACCAATTGGAACTAGGAAGGCAGGACATGGGGTCTCTGGGAGAGAAAGTATCTTCTCACATTTAGCTCTTGAGCCTGACCGAGCAGCCAAGACCCTGAACTGTGGGCTGGTTCCTGGAGGAAGTATGCTTTGGTGTTGCCATTCATGGGTGGGCTTGGGGCCAGGGGCTTCACTGGCTGTTGTGCTGGGGATGGCACACTCGGGGCCCTGTGCCTGGGTTCTCTGGACCCCTGAAACTGAAACTTCATCCATAGGCTGCAAGATGAGTGTGTTGTCCTGGTACCTGCACTAGGTCCTCAGAGTTGAATGTTCCTCAGGCAGGAAGAAGACAGGGTGCTGTGTATCAGGAATGCTGCTATCTCTTGGGGTTCCAGACTCTGCAAGGCTCTCCTGTAAAGCCTGGGGTGGTGGAGCCCTTGGGGAGCCTGCTGGTACCAGGCTGCCTGAATGGTGGAAGCATTGCCTGAGAGCCAGAGTCTCCGGGAGGAACGTGAGCTGCTGGAGACGGCGCCTTCCTGCCCACAGCCGCTGGTGCTAAGCGGTGGTTGAGGAAGGAGGGGGCATCTTTTTATTTATTTATTTTTTTTAAGATTTTATTTATTTATTCATGAGAGACAGAGAGAGAGAGAGAGAGAGGCAGAGGGAGAAACAGGCTCCCAAGGAGCAGGGAGCCCGATGCGGGACTCGATCCCAGGACCCTGGGATCATGACCTGAGCCGAAGGCAGACGCTTAACCATCTGAGCCACCCAGGCCCCCCGGGGGCATCTTTTCTCTGGAGGGCAGCCTCCCCTGCCCAGTATGCGCAGACTGAGAAGCAGGCTACGGAGATTCCACTGACAGCACTTCCTGGGGGGGCCGCTAGGGTGTGCTGTCTGCCGGAGTGTGGATTTCACCCCCGTGGGTTTCCGTCTGAAGATTCCCTGAGGAGGAGGACTTCGCTTTTCCCCAGCCGGGGACTAAACCCTGCACACTTCTTCCCCACTCTCCCTCACGGGTTCCCCTTCCTTCGTCCCCCCTTCATTCCTTTCCTTCATGTTCCACCCACCCCTTGGTGCCAGTAAATGTGGTCTTAAAATGGCAGGCGGGGTGATGTATTTCCGTGTGTTTTTGTTTGCTAAGCAGTGGGCACCCTAGCAATAGCATCGCTGCCAAGAGGACTTGCGGTCGCCTCTCATCCCTGCAAAGGGATGAGAAAGGGGAGGAGCAGCTGGGAAGGAGATGGACCGGCTTGGTTGGAGCCTTTAGCCTAGCCTGCAGGCTGAAGGATGGCAGAGGCTCTCTGTTTAATCTAATCACACCCTCCCCCAGGTAATTCACGAGGGAGCCATCTGAAGTGTTTTCCTGTCTGAGGGGAAGGCCTGGCGATGGGGCACGTCGGAGCAGGTCGGATTGGGTGGGAGGTGGGGGGAGATAGCGCAGAGTCGATTCAGAGCCTGGCCTCTGCTGGAGAGCCTCCTGGCTCCCTCGCTGGTTTGGCACCCTGGCACGTGATTTAGTGCCGGCCTTAAGGGGCTGCAGGCAGGTTTGGATGAGATCAGGCATTTGGGTGCTTAGCAGTATGTCTGGCACCGGGTAAGTGCTCCATAAAAGACAGCCATCATTAAAGGAGCGTGGAGGGGGCAGCCGGAAGACAAGGACAGTCTCCTCTGGAGGAATTTCCAGATATTTGTGAGGATGGCTGGGGAGAAGCATGATCTTTGGGAAGGCTGACACCAGGATATTCCTTTCAGTTAAAAAAAGAAAAGATTTAAGGGGCTGGAATGCAAAGACGTAGGGTAGAGATAAGCACCGCCCCCCCACCTGCCTGGGGATTTTTAGATCTTCCGTTCTCTGGTTGTAGAATAACCAAAGAGGGTTAGAAAGAGTGTGGGAAGGGACTGAGAAACTTCAGAATGGATAGGATGTATTTCTGTTGGTAAAAGAGACCCAGAAAACCAGATTGAAGTAGACTATGAAGATGAATATGTGATTTCCAAAAAATGCTTGACTTTCTCTGTTCTGGGCTTGTCTGGCCAGGATAGCCGAATGAATTCTTATTTCTCCATATTTTTTAGGAAATTGGACTAAACTTGTATGTGGGGAAGGTGTTTATAGGAATTCATGGTTTCTTTTGAGGATGAAAGGGCACCTGAGCAGGGAGGGGATGCAGCCAGGGGTTTGAGTCTCATTTCTTGACCTTGTTTCCTAGGAAGTAGCTTGAGGCTCAGCCTTGGGGTCATGGCTCAAATTTGGGGGCAGCCATCCTTTGCTCTGAGGGGAAGTGTGCAGATTTCCTCTTAGGACGCCCGTCACGAGGCCACAAAGCGTGGGGACTGCACTTAGACTTCCTCTAATCTCAGCACAGCAACACGCCTTAGTGGCACCCTTGCCACCTCCCTTTCTTGTCGGCGGAGGGGGGGTGCTAGGGTGGGACCTGGGGGATGGGGGCAGGGTGCATTCCTTCTCAGCCGTCCGCCCCGTCTTCAGCTAACTGCCTCAGGGCCAGCCTCCCTGGGGCTGCAGAAATTGCGCCCAGCCACCGTCCTTTCTTCTGGGCCCTCAGTCCCGGAGCAGCGCTGACAAAGGAGATTCCTGAGAGAGTGCCTTATCATGGAAAGTGCTGAGCCCAGAGCTCCTGGCTGCCCCTTTTGCAGATGTGAAGGGCCCGTGAACCTTGGACCCAGACAGTTGCTTAACACTCCTCTCCCCCTCCCTCACCCCCTCCACCCATCTTGACTTCTCGATTTGATTTAAATCCAGAGGCATTTGCCTGGCCTTTCCTTTTACCGCCGGCTGGAAAGGAGGAGCGGTCAGGCCCCAGTTCCTAGAGGCTGCGTCTCTGTGACTGCCACCGCAGGAACCTGCTGGAACCCCGGGCCAGGGAGTGAGTGTACTTCGCCCCCGCCCCCAGCCCCGCTCACCTCGCCCACCCGCTGTGCTGCTGGGGCGGGGGGGGGGGGGGGCGCTGGCCAATCACTTCCTCTCCCCAGTGCCTCTGGCTCTAGACCTCTCCCCTTGCTGGGCCAGCCTCCCTCTCTTGCGCCCAGCAGTCCCCTGCTCTGCAGGGCCGGCACCTGCGGACGCTTCCGTGACTTCCCAGCCTCGGCTTTGCGTCTTTGGGTGCCGACTCTCCAGCTGCAACTCCTGGGTGGGGAGCCGTCATCAGCTGCCTCCAATCACCTCGAGGTTGGGCTGTCCCCTTTGGATCACCCTTCTCTCATTCATACTTTTTTGGGTGATGCAGCTATGCTGATGTGAGGAAGTGGACAGCAGGAAGCCTGGAATACTAGGGGCTGGGAAAGAGGTCTGGGAAGGAAAAGCAAGGAGAATCACCCGTCTTCTTTCTTCCAGGGTGGGGTGGGGCTGCTTGGGCTTTGCTAGGGCTGCCGACTTCACGTAAGGGTGGTTAAGAGCGGCTCCCTGAGCAGGGGGAGGGTTGTAGGTTTCCAGCAAGAGGTTCCCGAAGCCTTTAGGTTTGCCAGAGCCCGTGTCCTTCGTGGGGGGCAGAGAGGTTTGTGAGGAGAACCCACAGATAGGCTGCTTGCAAGGTTGGTTCCTCACGTTGCAGCTCAGTGCAGGTAACAGGTGAGACTGAAATTAGAGGGAAGACAGACTGTTTGGGGGTGAGGCTGAAAAACGCAGACTCAAATCATGAGGGTTATACCTGGGAACTGCCAACTTGCCTTTTATCACAGCAGACTCAGGTAGAACCAGGATTTAGTTTTCTCTCTTGTCAGTCTGGTGGGCAGCACCGTCCTAATGTGGAGAAACAGCTGCTTTCTCTCTAGCGAGTGAGGGCCTTCCCTTAAAAATTTCCAGTTGGGGTTATTTTAATGAGCCAGCAGGAGAAGAAGTTAATGGGAGGTGGGAGGCCAGAGAGAGCTCTCTCAGCTGGGGGGAGGGGGTGCGGCAGGACATTGCCCATATTGACCACTATGGGCAAGAGTCCTATGTAACTGCCAACCACCTGATCTATATCTTCATCTTTCTTCCTTAGAAGGCAATGCCAAGAAGCTGGTGACGGCCATCTTCTTCTCCGCCATGGCTGACGGCATTAAGTATGAAGTGGCCTCCCAGCAGGAGGGGGATGCTCCCCCCTCCGCCGATGAAGCCAGCCCAGGGTCGGAGCAGGTAAAGCTGAAGAAGGAGATCTCGCTGCTTAATGGCGTGTGCCTGATTGTGGGGAACATGATTGGCTCGGGCATCTTTGTCTCCCCCAAGGGCGTGCTCATGTACAGTGCCTCCTTTGGCCTCTCTCTGGTCATCTGGGCTGTTGGGGGCCTCTTCTCCGTTTTTGGGGCCCTTTGTTATGCGGAATTGGGCACCACCATTAAGAAATCTGGGGCCAGCTATGCCTACATCCTCGAGGCCTTCGGGGGATTCCTTGCCTTCATCCGACTCTGGACCTCACTCCTCATCATCGAGCCCACCAGCCAGGCCATCATTGCCATCACCTTTGCCAACTACATGGTGCAGCCCATCTTCCCGAGCTGCTTCGCCCCCTATGTTGCTGGGCGCCTGCTGGCCGCTGCCTGCATCTGTAAGTGGGGCCGGGGCAGGAGGTGTGGGCTGGAGCACCAGGGCAGAGGCTGGGATGTGAGTCCAGTAAGCCAGCAGAAGGAGCTGGAAGGGAATGCCTCTGACACACACTCTTGTTGTTTTTATTTTATTATTATTATTTAAAGATTTTATTTTTAAGTAATCTCTGCCCCCCAATGTGGGGCTTGACCTTAACAATCCTGAGATCAGGAGTTGCATGCTCTACCGACTGAGCCAACCAGATGCCCCCTCTTATTGTTTTTACATTCGTGTATGCTTCCTGTGAAAATTCAAACGGTAGCAAAGTGTAAAAACAGACAAAAACAAGCAAAACAGCAAAGAGAACAATTTACCTTTCCCCCATTTTCCCACGGTGAGCCCCATTAGCAGTTTGTATGCCCTTCCCAACTTTTTCTTTTTCCTTCAAGAAGTGTAGTGTTTTTGTTTTTTTGATTGATTAATTAATTAGCAGGCGCCATGCCCAGTGTGGAGCCCAGTGGGGGCTTGAACTCACGACCCTGAGATCAAGACCTGAGCTGAGACCAAGAGTCGGATGCTTAACTGACTGAGTCACCCAGGCGCCCTTCAAGAAGGGCGCCTGGGTGACTTTTCTGTTTTTAAAAAATGGGATCATAATACATATATAATCCTACAGTTTTTGCTTTTTTCCCAGAATTTACCAGTGACATTTTCTACTTAGGGATCTACTTTTTTAGGGATCTTTACTTCTTTAGGGATCTACTTCTTTAGGGATCTACTTTTTAAAAAAAAAGTTTGATGGTGTTCCATGTTAATTTTAAGGCTGTATTATGTAACAAATCAGTCCTCTGTTAGTGGCCGCTTAAGTCGGTTCCAGTTTTTCTTTCATACAGGTAATGCTCCGGTGAATATCCTATTGCGTTCGCATGAGTTTTTCTGTGGCCTAGATTCTTCTTTTTTTTTTTTTTTTTTTAAGATTTTATTTATTTATCCGAGAGAGAGAGGGAGAGGGAGATCATGAGCAGGGGGGTACAGGTATAGGGAGAAGCAGGCTCCCTGCTGAGCTGAGCAAGGAGCCCGATGCGGGACTCGACCCCAGGACCCCGGGATCATGACCTGAGCCGAAGGCTCCCTTGACTTTTGCTCTGTCTCATAAATAGCGCATTTAAATCTGTACATTCAACAAAGCTACATTGGAGGTACCGAGAAGCTGATCCGCTATAGCCCCATCCCTCTGGTACCTCTGTTTTGGAAAAATGCCCTCCTAGCCTGAAACCTTGGAGACCCTTTCCATGCCCCAACTGTGGAGAAGCTCAGAGCTTCTGTCATTTTAAGGAGCAATTACCCAGCAGTGGCAGCTGTGAAAGTGCAGGTGTTTTGTACCAGGTGCAATTGCTCCCTGGATCAACCTTGTCCAGGCAGCCTCATGTCCCCTTTTCTCGAGGTTTCTCCACTGGCCCGTCTTACTCCTCAGCTTCCTTCCCAGCCTCCCTGCTTTTACTGTTGCAGAGGCCTGGGTGTCTGTGTGGGGACCCCCCTGTGCTTTGTGTGCCCATGTGTGTGGCTCGGACTCATCTTTGTATATGGGGATGTCTGCCCTGCATGGCAACAATCAGGGACGGGTGGGAGGCACTGCCTTGTGTTACAAGAAGGAGGTTCTCCTTGAGGTCTTAAATGTGATCTGTAATTTCTCTTGCGTCATTTACAGATGATCTGGTAGGTTGATTTACTGGTGAAACTAATTTTAGGATCTGTCAGGCTTGAGGTGCCCTCAAATGTGGGTATACAGTTACATATCTTGTGTGGTGTAAGGATTATTCCATCTAAGTATAATTTCCAAGATGGCTGCATCCCTTTAAGCCCTAGGATCCTATTATGCTAATCATCTTTGTCATAGTCTCTTTAAAACCAATGATATGTCTCCTTGCCTTCATAACTTTGGGTGACTCAGAGTCACCATTGCACGTCTCAATTCTTGTATGACTGTGAGGCCTTCCCAAGCCACTGGGGTGACGATGTGTGTTTACTTCCTCAGTGGCTTCAGAGTGCTGGCCTGACTTTATTTATTTATTTATTTTTAAAGATTTTATTTATTTGACAGAGGGAGCGAGAGAGCACAAGCAGGGGGAGCTGCAAGCAGAGGGAGAAGCAGGCTTCCCACAGAGCAGGGAGCCCGATGCGGGGCTCCATCCCAGGACCCTGGGATCATGACCTGAGCCGAAGGCAGATGCTTAACCATTTGAGCCACCCAGGCGCTCCTGGCCTGACTTTAGTTCATCAGGTTTCATTCTTTATGGTTTTGATCTGTGTCATCTGATAGCTCTTCCTTGATTCTGGCATCGGGCCTACCTCCATCCATCACCCCCTTTTTAATTTGCCGTGTCTACCTTGCGAGCAGAGATGGCCTCAAACTCTTGTACACCCAAGTACACATACACACGCCGGTACATCCTGGTAAGAATACATGTGAAGAAAAAAAAAAAAAGAATACATGCGAAGTAACCACGGTTTATGATCAGTCTGCAGAGCTCCCCAGGTAATAAAAGACACAGTTGTGTGCATGGATTTATGGCATATATTTGATGCAACTCTGATAGAGTGACAAGTGCACCAGACTTGTGTTTGAGGCTGGGCTCAAGACCTGTGTGACCTAGGCAAGATGCGGTTACTGTTTTACTTCCAGGCTACTGCACGGATGAAGTGAGATTCAGTGAAAACCATAAATCATGACTCAAGTGCAATGTATTGGTGGTGATTATGTTTAAAATTACTCTCTCTCTTGGCTGCTTCTAGGACTTTGTTCAGTCTTTAATAACTTCCTCGCAGGTCATGCTAAGCGGGTGCTTCAACCACGCCTGGACTCCATTTCATCCTTCAGTGTTGCGTGCAGACATCTCCTGAGTAAGGCGCTCTCCCCCCCCCCCCCAGCGCTGACCAACCATATATAGGTTTCATTGGCTACTTTGCCTATCTCCACCACCACACCATTGAGTTCCCTGCTCTGGAAGAAGGTTCAGAAGGGCAGCCAAGGTTTTAAGTAAGAATTAGGAACCTATGATTCATGAGTTTCTTCCTTCAACCATTGTCTAATGAGCACCCAATACATGTCAGATGCAGAGACCTAGGAGGACATTCTGTCCGTATACCACCTATGCAGTAATATCTCGTTTATCTAACTGTAGCCTTTCAGGAGAAAGCCAGGAGGTAGGCCTAGAAGCATCTAAGAAAGAGAGTAATTTTATTTTTATTTATTTTAATTTAATTTATTTATTGATTTAAAAGATTTTATTTATTTGACAGAGAGGGAGAGAGGGAGAGAGAGCACAAGTGGGGAGCAGCAGGCGGGGGGGGGAGCAGGGAGCCCGATGACCCCGGGATCATGACCTGAGCCGAAGGCAGATGCTTAACCGACTGAGCCACCCAGGCGCCCGAAAGAGAGTAATTTTAAACATAACAATCATCAATATGTTACACTTGAGTCATGATTTATGGTTTTAACTGAATCTCACTTCACTCACACAGTAGCCTGGAAGTAAGCCATCCCTGCACTTGCCTAGTGTCACGTGGCTCCTGAGCCCTCCCTCAAACACAGGTCTGGTGCACTTGTCACTACTGGAGTTGTCAAATATATGCCAACAGTTTACGCACAAAATGAGGACTAAGGCTAAATCTTCAAATTTAGCAAGAGAAGGGATTTAATATAGAACATTCCTTCATTCAGGGAACATTTAGGGCATACTCTGTGCTAGATATTACACATAGTGCTGGCAAGCAAAGAAGAAAAAAGTATGGCCCTTGACATCCAAGAACTCCTAGTCGAGGAGGGAGACAGCTATGTTGGCCAATAGTTGTCATGCAGGAGAGTAAGTGTGGTTGATGGAGGCACCATGGGAATGAGCAGGACAACTTTCTTCCTGTGGGGAAGAGAGCATAGAAGGTGTGGAGGTGCAAAAAGGCATGGAATGTTCAGGGAATTCAGGTGGTTGGTGTGGCTGGAATGCGGGGTGGGAGAGGGTGAGAAGATAGACACTGGAAATGTAGCCCAGGGCCAGCTCCGGACGGGTTTATACGTTGCCTAAACAGGTTAGACTTTATCTGGAAAGTGGGGCGACGCTGTTGATTGTAAGTGGGGAAGCAAAATCAGATTTGCTTGGGAGAAGAACTCTGCCACGTGGAGTGTTTTTGGCAAGTGTGAGAGTCTGAAGTGGGCAGACCGGTTTAGGGAGCTGAAACCTGAGTCCACGTGAAGGATAGTGAGGCCTGCACTGTGGGCAAGGCCTTTGGACCAGAGATGAGGGGACTGATAAAGAAATAGTTATACGGTGGAATTTCTAGGACTTTTGGCTGGAGATGTGTTGGGGAGTTCTCAGAGGTGATGCTAAGGGTTCAAGCTTGGACAGGTGGGCAGTGATAGGGCCTCCATCTGAAATAGGGAAGGTGAGCCGAGTGATGAGCGGAGGGCCATCTGGGGCTTCTGCTGGACTGCTTATGGGGTCCTTCCCTGAGCAGTGCCTTCCTTGGGTCTTTGTGACCCAGAGTTGGTCATTTTCCCATCCACGGAGTCTGACTTACCTAAAAAAGAAACTGATGTGTAAATGATGATGCTAGTCTACGACTGTACAATGGTGAGTGTACATGTGTAATTTCTTTTTTTTTTTTTTAAAGATTTTATTTATTTATTTGAGAGAGAGAGAATGAGAGATAGAAAGCACGAGAGGGAAGAGGGTCAGAGGGAGAAGCAGGCTTCCTACTGAGCAGGAAGCCTGGTGTGGGACTCGATCCCGGGACTCCAGGATCATGACCTGAGCCGAAGGCAGTCGCTTAACCAACTGAGCCACCCAGGCGCCCACATGTGTAATTTCTAATGAACAGAAGGTGAGTGCTCACTATTAAGGCTTCCTAATACCATAGTCCCTAGGAAACCCATTGAGTAATCAGGGAATTGCTTGCGGGGCATGGAATTGGAACAAAGGAAGAAAGTTTTGACCATGGAAGAAAAATTTACAGAACGTGATGGGCTCC